TATAGCTTATCTAAATGTGTGGGACTCACTGAGCCGCACTAAAGCTGCTGCTCCTCAGATCAACTCTATTCCTACATAAGATCGGCAGAAACTTGAGAACCAGGTCTATTTGATGAGCCTCAAGGAGCTATAAAGAGTTTCCAACTAAGTTGTGATTAGCGTCACGTAAAAGAAATACTGGCGCAAGTATTCTTATAATTGAATTTGGCAAGTACTTTTACAGTAAAAAGAACCCTTTTAAGTTAAATGGGAAGGCGAAGACAGGTGTGCTTTCATGACAACCTTGGATGAACTCAATAATGCAGGTACCGGAATATTCATAGAAGGAACATTAGGCCGAAGAAAATATAGTCCGTTCATTTGTCCATACGTCAAACTTGGCGGCTTTGAAGGTATCGAGAAGCGTATAAGACATATCAACTCATTTGGCTAGGTTTGTGTGTTTCAGGTAGACATACACTGTATTCATTTGGGGAAACGGAGATGGGTTGCAATGAGAATCACATCGAAAGCCACGAATAGTTGAGGAATTTCATTCCGAAAATTCACTAAAGTGTATGTCTCTCCAAAAAACTTAATTAGGTACAAACAAGCGCGAGATTTTTTGCGGAGTGAAAAACACGGTGCCCAAATTGATAATCATCAGGAATAACCAAAGCCTACTGCAGCTAAACTGAGATAAAGGCTGATAAAATCCTGATAATAGCAGGAGTTGGCTGTGTTCATTTGAAATTTAACTCTCCAAGTGAAGCCAGCGTAGCTGCGAACCGTGCGCATCCGGGATTTTTCTTTGATCAGCTGCAAGCATCATGGTAGGATTCGATACTGCAGACACAAGACGTTTACAGTCAATGCAGCCGGCTAATATTTGGTCTCACAATATTCTGCTTTTTTGCAACAGCGAATTCTTTAAGCTAAGTCAGAGGAATGCGCAAACATAAGTGTGCATGCGTAAACATATACACACTATGTCTTCGACGGCAGGCAGTCTGTCAGATATTTTTGTCCGATCAATTCTCGATGATGATATTTGTTGAGTGAACAGAAATAAATCGCGTGCATCAAATAGACCACACATTCCTTTATATTTGGCTTAAGTTCCTGGCCTCAGTACAATATATATACATTATATATATAACAGCTGAAATGACAGTTGAAACGGATGCACATCGTAGAAATCTTTGCGATCGTGAATTTTAGGAAATATCCAATTTTATGCAAAAAACTTTTCTTACTTCCACAAAAAGAGCGAAAGACCTAACGAACAAAAAAGACGAATATTGTGCGCTAAGGATAAAGAATGTAAATGTATTAGAACATGGTTGTACGGCGGTGAAGCATCGGTGTTGAACACTGATGTCATGCTGTTGATGGTGATGATGATGATGGTGATGATGATGATGTATTAGAACAGGTGCATAATGATGTCGTTACAAAGGCGGGTGAGAGTAAGGCCACAGTTGCTATGGGAAAAAGCGACTGCTTGCAAAAAGCCAAGCTGATGGACATTACCGAATCGACCGTATGTTGAAATCTTCAACAAACGATACGGTGCTAGCACACTGGTATTGGTTGTATCCAAGACGTGCAAATCAATCATGGCCACAAAGTTTTCTTTACATCTACGAGACAGACATCCCGATAAGGTATAACTCTTCTAAAACAGAAGTCAGCTAGATTATTATCCAGTATATCGAAATCCCTTCCATGAAAAACAACTAATCAAAGAAGGACGTCCTGTACAAAGTCGACTGGTCCCCCTAGAAGATGGGAAAGGTTCTTATATTAGCGAGCTACACTCACTTGCAAACTAATTTGGTTTTGCGATAAACTCACCTGGAACCCAGCTGAATCTCTCGTTTGTGATATTCGATGGATGATGTATTAGAACAGGTGCATAATGATGTCGTTACAAAGGCGGGTGAGAGTAAGGCCACAGTTGCTATGGGAAAAAGCGACTGCTTGCAAAAAGCCAAGCTGATGGACATTACCGAATCGACCGTATGTTGAAATCTTCAACAAACGATACGGTGCTAGCACACTGGTATTGGTTGTATCCAAGACGTGCAAATCAATCATGGCCACAAAGTTTTCTTTACATCTACGAGACAGACATCCCGATAAGGTATAACTCTTCTAAAACAGAAGTCAGCTAGATTATTATCCAGTATATCGAAATCCCTTCCATGAAAAACAACTAATCAAAGAAGGACGTCCTGTACAAAGTCGACTGGTCCCCCTAGAAGATGGGAAAGGTTCTTATATTAGCGAGCTACACTCACTTGCAAACTAATTTGGTTTTGCGATAAACTCACCTGGAACCCAGCTGAATCTCTCGTTTGTGATATTTCCAGGCAACTGAATGTGCTACACCAGGCTGCCTTATGTTTCAGTCGCTACGATATTCGAGATATCGCAATACATGTATATTTGTAATGTACTACTCATAAGGTTGCTGAAAATCCATCGACAGCACACGACCGGTTTCGCCCTTCTTGGGGCTCATCA